TCACATAATCTGAATCTCTTCTTGGACTGTCACATCCCCTGGTCCTTGCAGAGGCTCTAAGGAGATCTATGTCCTCAACATCATCTTTATTTATATGTAGATGGGTGGCAGGGGAAGACCTCCTTGTGCCTCATTTCTATTATCACCATCATTGTCGTAAGGAAAAATAGTTTTTCTATACGTCTGTCTGGTTGTTGGACAAAGAGGATCAGTGGATGAAACTCTTATGGGGACCAACAGTCTGAGCTGCATTATACCGCACAAGAAAGACGTAAGAAAGAGAAATAAGAAAATAAGCATTGTACTCTGCATATAGCACATGAGGAATAAAAGTGAGTCACGAACATTCTACACATTTTTCAGAGTCCCAGTTCAAACATTCCTTCATCTATAGAGCCTTCTCTGACCCTGAGATAGGTTAAGAGTCCTTACAATGGAGTCCACAGCAATTAGTACTTCAGTAATATCTATTATCTTTTAGAATAATTACCTGTTTAATTAGTTCTGTGCTTGCTAGATTCTAAGTGAACTCCTGGAGAACAGGTACATCATTGACCTTACCATTGTCACTCCAGCACCCAGAGAAGTCTGGTACCCAAAGGAGCACAAGAAACATTTGTTGAGCAAGTGGGTTAACAGGAAATATGACATGGGCTAGCTGCCCAGTGTTGATCACAGTCGATATGACTGGGGAATTTTGTGGACTGGTTGGGAAGCTATGTCTTGAGAACCGCAGTTTTGATGATAGAGTTCCAAAGAGACTTCTTCTGACAAATAGGAATTGAACACCCGTGATGTTCCTGCATCAGGCAGTATGTTAGAAGCTGAAAATAGACTAGTATGTATGAAGCATATTTCAGGGGCCAGACAGTGGCAACATGGCAAAATACGACACTTGGTAAGGCACACCCAAAGGGGAGAGTTCCCAGTTCAAGTCCAGAGATCTCCCTGAGTATTCCAGGCACAATGTGCCCTTGACTCAGGGTTGGCAGAAGCTGGGGATGGATCATGTCATCAAGACCCAGGTGTTGTCTCTCTTCCCCTTTGTCTCTCTCACTCATGGAACACATAAATGAACTTTTAGAAAAAGAAGCATATTCCCTATCTGATTAACTAAGTGTAGTTCCACCCTATAGGATTAAGAGAATTAAACAAGAGAGTAAAGACACTTAGCACAAGAAGTACGAAATAAATGTGAATGTTTGTTAGCATTATTGGAAGATACTAACAAGTAATTGTTAATGTGGTGATAATGCCTATGGAGAAATAGTGTCATGCTAATACAGTTTGGGAAGTCAAGGTGGGGGACTCCGAAGATGAAGGACTTCCAGCAGAGACCTACAGGGGATGAGTCAGAAAAGGGAGCAAAGGGGATTGTGGAGTCGCTCCTCTTCAGAACCATCACAGAAGGAGGAGAGTTGCTTGGGAAAGATGGAAGAGTTTGGGGAATGGGGAAGTAAGGACCATCTAGGACTATGAATTGCATGTAGCTCAGAGGGGACTGCAGATCATTTAGGGAACTATTATCTGAGACGCTGAACAGGTTTGCAGGTCTAGAATGAGTGGTTTGGGGGTGGAGTCAAGACAGCGAGAAGAAGGTGGCTGACAGTGGGAAGGAGGAGGCTATGGAGCACGAGGTCGACTCCAAGGCAAGGGGTAGTAGGCCTGAACCATGATTCTAGAAGGATGAGGACTAAACCAGGGGCTGAGAGTTTTAGGTTCTAGTGCTGTGTGACCCTAGGAAAGTCGGTTTTCTCTCTGAGCCCTAATTTTCTCAGCAATAAGGCAATTTTCTTGTCTGTTCTACAGGGTTAATATCAAATCACACGGACCAGCAGATGACATAATGGTTACCTCGCTGGAATCAAACCTCGCTGGTTTGAGTCCTGGACCTGGCAGCTTAAAATTCACACTGGGTGCTTATGAGTGTGAGCCCAAAATCCCAAGAGGAGTATGGAGAAGGAACTGTGGTGTGGTCAGTCCCTCTGGGGGGTGATGTCTTCCTTTCTGTCTGTCTTTGTCTCTCTAAGCAAGCACACACACCTTATAGCAAAGATCTCTCTAAAAAAAAAAAAAGATCAAATCACATAAGGTATGCTAAATGTCTTTGGAAACACTGAAGTACTGGACAGTGATGGAAATTTTGATAATAATCTTCTTTACTATTCTTTTTGTGTGTATGTGTGTGTGAGATAAAGAGCATGTGGGCACACTTGTGAGAGAAAGGAAGAGAAAGCCCCTCCACAGGGTCTTGTCAGGCTATGCTCCTTTTCCCAGCCTTCCAGCTCCTCAGGATCTTGGGCACATGTACATGCTGTGTTTTGGGGTTGACCCAGGGATCCAAACCACAGTCAACCTTGTGGCTTCCAGCACCAAAGTTCAGTACATTACATACTGTGTTATCTGGGCTGGGCCTTCTTTATTACCCTCTTGTGATAAAATAACCAGAAGTTCATGTTACTCAACAGATATCCGGAATGAATTCAGTCTTTGATTCATTCATTGAACACACATTCCTTTTGATGAAGTGTGGAGGATACAGAGATAAGGAGAAAATGGCCAGATCTTCTAGCCTACAGCCTAGTTGGGAAAACAAAGTTGTAAAAGATGAGGTTAAAAAAAAAAATCACACACACACAAACATATAGATACATAGATAGCTGTGTGCTTGCACACACACAGTTAGAATGGAGAATGTGGGGAGTCTTTCCAGAAGAGGTGATACTTAAGGTGAGTTCTGAAGGACGAGTGGTTACTCAGATGCACAGATCAAGATAGAAGCCATTGCAGTCTGAAGACAGGTCTCAGTGGTGTGAAAGGACTGTGCTGTATTTAAAACCCAAAGCCATTCCATTTAGTTGGAATGTCAGAGATGTCAGATCTAAGAAAGGAAGAGGAAATACCTGATTTTACATTGCCCTGAAAGCAAAACCAGAGACAAGGACTTGGACAGGGATAGTTTGTGTGGGACATGATCCCAGGAAGCAGAGGTGAGGGAGGGAAGAAAGTGGAGCAGCAAAGGGAGAAGACCCAGTAAAGGATGCTTAGTGAGCTAGTTGTTCCTGGGGGCTCCTTCTTGCTGGGACCTTCTGAGAAGCTATAGAATACACTTCAGGTTTGTCCCACCAGAGGACACAGCAGCTGGGACATTCACCCAAGGATCTGTCTCACAGTGATGGAGGGTCACCCTGAACATTCAGGTTGCTCCTGTGTGCTCTGAGTGGCCGTCCACAGAGACAGCAGAGGGCCTTCTGTGTAGGCTTCTGGAAACATGTAGGAATGTGCCCAGAATTCGGAAAGAAGGAGAGAACAGGCAAGAAGCTGAATCAATGATATCATGGCTGAGACTTTTTCAGTGCTGATGAAAAACTAAAAGCGACTGAGAAAAAGAGTGGCTGAACTAACTGAATGGTTGGACCGAGGTGTGAAGGGCAATCATGAGTGCTAGATGGCTCAGGGCTTTTCTGCCTGGAGGAATGAGGACAGGTTGGTATGCCTGCTGTGGCGAGTGACCTCTGAGAGGAGGCTGTCAACAGGACACCCAGTTCCAGAAATCCTAGAAGCAGAACTTCAGTGCAAAAGCTTTGGAGACCGGAAAATACAAACACCACTGAAACATAGTCAAGCCCATGAGCACGGAAGACATGGCCTGTGTCTTTGGGACCCCAGTGGTCATTTGGGGCACCCTAGGCACTGGGTTTGCTAGGAGAACTTCTCTAGAGGCCAGAAGCAGTGCTAAAGGAATACTGGCAAGCTTGTGCATTCTCTGGGAGCACTGTCCCGTCCCTTAGTTGTTATCTGTTTTGGCCCATCTCTTGGCTCTTTCACACGTCTAACCTGGACCAAATTCATATTGGACTGCATTCCTTTAGATTACCTGACAGTGTTGCAAATTGATCTGATAAACTTATACTCCTAGGAATTATCTGATCATGGTCTTTGAGCATATTGTGATAGAGTTAGACAAAGTTCGTTTTAAATCCAGCTTCAGCACTTACTATCTATAGACTGCATGTACTTGCCAGAGAGACAGAGAGACAGAAAGTGAGAAATCAGCCCACCAGGGGGTTGGCCACACCGCAGTCCCTCCTCCATTCTCCTCTTGGAATTTTGGGCACACATACACACGCACCCAGTGTGAGTTTCAAGTTGTCAGGTCCAGGATTCAAACCACGGTTGACCATGTGGGAGTCCAGTGGACTGGAAAAATGTCTTCAATTTTTTCATGTTTGCATTCTCAGTCGATGTGAATTGACTCCTCTCTATAGCTCAAAAACCGTTGCATCCCCCCTAGCTGTTTATTTTTATTTTTGTTTTTATTCTTTGTTCTGTTTTGTTTTAGGTTTTTTTTTTTCTCTAGGGCATGTGTGTTCTCCATTGAAAAACGTAGAGAGACAGAGAGAGGGAAAGCAAGAAATCACTCCCCTAGGGGATGGCCATACTGCAATTTTTTTCTCCTCCATTCTCCTCTTGGGATTTGGGACATGAAAGCACTTGCACCCAGCATGATTTTCAAGTTGCCAGTTCTGGGACTCAAACTATGGTCAGTCATGAGGGAGGCCAGCACTTTAACCACCATACCACTTGCTGGCCTCCAGTTTTGTTTTTTAGATGAAGCTTGAAAAACTTTCATGAGCAAAAGAAATGAACCTTTAATGTAGCATTTTAGCCATGGGTAAGGAATGGTTTAAATGATATAGCTCAAGAGGCCAGATGGCACAG